AAGAATAGTTCGAATTTGATTAAAGTAAAATCAATTCTAAGACAAGATATTAATTTCATCAAAAATCAATTTTATTCATTAAAACTCCAATTAGGAACCGATACCTGAATTTGGGAACCAGTTCAAGAAGCTGATATTCTAGAAAAACAATTCTGTTCTTTGGAACCGGTACCAAGATTCTCTTACCGGTACCACTGCTGTTTTAGTTTATGGAAACTTAGTCCTGATCAGTTTTGAACTTCCTATTTGGTTTAGAAGTTTACCAAAAGTCCTATGCACGAAATTTCCTTTATTTTCAGAAGGAATAGGATTTTGGAAACTCTATATAAACCATGATACACATCTAGGTTTATTAATAGCTTTTGCACTATCAATTCATTATTCATAAAAGCCGTAGGAAGATTATCATTGCAGAAAATCCAAGAGATTTATCTATCATCTTTCTAGAACACATACACATAAACACATAGTGAGTTTAGAGTTGTGGTGTTTAAATCCATGATGATCAGAGAAAAACAGATCTACTTCTACATCAATTTAGATATTGAAGAACAGAAGTAAAAGCGATCATACTTTGAAAGGGTTGGCACATTCGAGGAATGTTGTCTGATTTACCTGTTACTCTTCTATTGATATCAAGCATAAGCATGAGGTCAAGTTGTTGTTGGATAGGACGTCGCAAAGCCAAATGATTGTCAGCTATTGGTATTTGGTAGAATGATAAGGTGTGAGCCAAAGTCAAAGTTCAGTGTACTTTGTTTCAAACATAGAGGATCGATTTACTTTGGATTGCACAGTCCAAGAGGTTTTTCCCGCGCAAACAGTTAACGTATTTTATCAACTGAGGTTTCCTCACTAAAAATCTTGGTGTCATCTCTAAATTTTTACTTTGCTTTATTTTATCTGCATGTGATTAATTGTTTAATTACTAAAATAAGTAAAGTTGGAAAAGATACAGATCTGTTTTCAAAAATACAAAACTTTCTAAATATTCTGCTGCGTACAACACACAAAAATAACCGTTTGTAAATAAAATGTCCATTTTCAATTTTAAGCCGGTTTTGATGTAAAAATGGTCGAGAATGACCGGGATGATTTTTTTTTATAGATAAAAGAGTAGAAAATGTCCGATTTGATGGTTAATGCATGTGTGAAGTGTAAAAATGCCCTCAGGTGGTGCTTCCAAGTCTGGAAAGCTACCGGTAAATCCCATGATGGGATAACCATTTGGTTAACTTACGAGAGGTCATAGTAACCTAATGAGAACCACCTTTTCCATGTGTGAAATCAACTACGACGATGAAAAGACAAGAATGTCATCCCATTGTCGTAGAACACATGTATGCTCGTGTGTGCTCATTTTACATCAATAAGTAAATTTAAAGTCATAAAGCACGTAAAAATGTAAAGACGAGCAATGTAATGATAAAGAGAACAATAATGGACATGAACAAGAAAAGTGAGGCCAAAAAGTGATGATCTTGAGTACGAAGAGCTACCGATAAATCTAGTGAAGGGATAACCATTTGGTTAGCTTCCGAGAGGTTGTAGTAACCTCACGAGAACTATCTTTTGCGTGTACAAGGCCGACTACGACAACGGTAAGCCGAGAATGTCATCTTGTTGTCGAAGGACACATGTATAAAAGTTTTTGTGTGTATTCATCAAAAGTAAAGTAATAAACTTAAAGCTTGTAAAGATGCACAAAGATCAAAACAAAGAAAGCAAAAATGAATTAAAGCATGAAAAAGTAAACAAAACAAGATAAAAAAAGAGAGGTATAGAAGATCATTACCCCACTTTGTTTGAAGTTCGTTCATCAAGCTTTTGATTTCCGGTGAGCTTCTCTCTTAAAGTGTAGAGAGAGAAAGAAAGAGGAGGTGTAGAGAGGTGCATATCTGTGCGTAGAGATTTGTTGTATGTTCTTGGTGTTTATGTGTGTGTATATATAAAGAGGGTATTTCTAGAGAGAGAGAGTATTTATAGAAATGGGCAATTCTTTCTAGGAAGGGGGACCTTTGAAATGTGGGAATGTATGCATTATTTATAAGCCAAATAGGAATCAAATGTCAATTTTCAGAGGACTTGAATGCAATATTCGAAGGACTAAAAGTGCAATTTCCATGGACTAGTTTTCAATTTTCCAAAAAGTACCTTTTGATCCAAGGGAGGAGAGACAATGAAGACAAAAAAAGTGAAGGGGGGCTAAAAGTAAGGCCCCCATCGATTTTCGAAAAAGGAGCCTAGGGGTCCTTTTTTCACTTTTTGATTTTCTCTCTCGTTGGCCAATCCCTTTTTTTCCCCTGTTTTTCCAGAAATTACAATTGAGTGCCATTTTTGAATTTTCACTGATTTCTTGGGATATTTGACTCCATGATGTCCTCATAAAGCCGATGTGGCACATTTTACCCTTTTCCAATTGTTGGAAATCCCTGCACAGTGTAGTTTTACCTTTTTTGCCCCTGAGAATGGAAATTAGGCCAAAGTGGCCCCGAACTAGAACATGACCAATATTATAATGTTTTCTAGGGTTTTGGACCCTATTAATCCAATGGTGATATCCATTTGTCCATTTGACCTTTCAGAGTAAAAGTCAAACCTTAGATTTAACTAGTTGGTCCCTACCGTAGAGACTTGGTCAAAGGTAGGGCCGGACTGGAAGGTAGGCAATATTACAGTATTTTTTTTTTTTTTTTTATGTTTTTTGACCTTCTAAGCACAATGGTGAGGTTTGTGGGTGAGGTTGACCATCGGCGTGAAAAGTCAAACTTGGGATTAACAATTTGGACCCCACCGAGGGTTTTGGTCAAAGTGGGTGATGGAGAAAGGTGGAGACCTCGAGAAGAGGTGTACCCTAGGTTTTTTTTGGGTGAATTTTGGACTCAATGGTGAATTATGTTTGTCATTATGACAATGGATCGCGAGGTTGTAGTATAAAATGTTAATTTTGCCCTTTTTGGAAAATTGGTAATTGTGTGTCGGGAAGTGCGTGATGTGGTCGATCAAAGTGTTTTGTGAGGTTATATGATGTTGTAAGTGTAATGGTGAAGTCTGATATCCAATCGGATGGACTGATTGTCTATTTTTAGTTTTCTATCGTAGGCGGGTCCTATTGGGGAAATGGTCTTGGGAGATGGAAGCACCGTCCCTTCTTGAGTTTTGGAAGATTGGTAGGTTGAAAGGAGGAAGGCAAAAATGGGGTGTCTACAATAACTATGTAATTTAACATTCAGTTGATGACTTCATCCAAATCGTCAGCAATAAAAAAAAAAAATAGTACTTTAAGAACTACCCATTTAGGGAGAAATTTCAAAAAGTTTCTGGCTACAAGTAATTTGAACAAGTTAGTTCTATTAACTTGACTTAAGTATTGTCCATTAACTTAACTGAAGTCATTTGGACAAAGGAATACTGAAGATCCAAATAAGATTATAAGTGTCAAGCAGATGATGTCATAGTGGGGCTCACTCCCTACTCACAATATTGTTGGAGTCAGACGCATCCGAAAGTCGAATGCAATATCATTTTCTTAATATTATTGAGAGTGGGTGTGGGCCTCATCACTCGTTCAGACGTTTTCTCTCCCTAACCATGCTCCTTATGCTTGTATACATTTGAAGTTGATTTCTTTTACTTAGTAAAATACAAATTAAGTAAGAGTTAATTTCACTTACACCTTCTCGGGTTTGGTCAAATATCACATTGAAACACCTTTCGAAAATTAATATCACTAAGGTCCAATTTTACTTTTCAAAATATCATGTAACTAAAATAAAACTTTGTCCCTAATTTTTTAATCCCATTTATACCAAAATATCATGTAACTAAAATGGCTATTTTTCCCCTACCACACTTTATGGATATTCCACCCCTAACTCCACTGTCTTTTACAATTGATAAATTTTCATGGACCCTGATTATTTCAATGGAGTTATTTTCTTCTCCACCCGTTACTATTTATGCATTACACTGGAGTTCAATTTGTTACTTAAGCCATTTGATATTTGATCAAATTATTTTTGCAATTTTAAAAATATTTAGCAAAAAAGGTAATAATGTCATTTTATATGTAAAAAGTAACTTTTGGGGTGTGAGTAAAAAATAGAATAAATGTTTATAACGTGAGTGAGAATAATTTTCAAAAAATATTTTAATGTGCAAATCTGAGGAGGTGTCAGTAAAATTAGCCCATTAAATAAACCCAAACTAAGTTTTTATGGAACCAAACTTGAATGGTTCATCAATATTCGGTTCTTATGCTGGATGTATACAAGTAGGCTTTTGCAAGACCCGTGAGCTGTGGAGCCAGCAAATCAAAGATTTTGTGCCCATCAAAAATAAGACAAGCAAAAACTACTCCTAAATCCTATTACTTACACGAAATTACAGAAGTGAATATATTTACACATAACATCCCTATATATGTTATATATATACTAAGTAGCTAGACAATTGAGATTAAAAAAGAAAAAAGAATAATATGATTCAGTACGGAACTGGAGGATCTCTGAGCAGTAATCTGATTCTGAGAGAATATATTAGAAGGGAAAGGATTAGGAAGGAGAGAGAAGAAAGAGAGTGTCTCTGAGACTGTCTCTTTCTTCTGTTGCTGCATCTGCAATCGTATCCCATCCCAATGACCCAAAAAGATCACGAAATATCTCTAACTCGATTTTATCACGATTTCTTACTACTCTTTCCCATAATTTACTTATTCACAACCATATACGTACATATATATATATAACATATACTATATACTAATATATATATACACGTATTTCTTTCTTGTCTATATATTAATACAGGGTCCCTCCTACCCCAACTACATTGTGTACCCTCTTCTTGGCGGTGTGTGTATGTGTGTGTCAGAGAAAGTTCCTTTTCTCTGTATTTGTGTCTTGTTCTCTTTCGGCAGATTGAACTTTTCTTCTTTTTCTGGTCTGATCTCATTGTTGGGTCTTAGCTAGAACCTAGAAAGGAAAGAGAAGAAAAGGAAAATGGCTTCTTCTTCTTCTTCATTGAAGGGTTTTGATAGTGAGGAGAGGCCTCATGTTTTGGCTGTTGATGACAGTTTGGTTGATCGCAAACTCATTGAAAGGCTTCTCACCAAGTCTGCATGTAAAGGTATTCATTCATTCTTTTTTCTTTTTTTTTTCTCCTGTTTTTTAGGGGTTTATTTTCCTTCTTTTAATTTTTTGTTTTTCAATTTTACGCTTTTAATAATGATTATGATCTACTTGTTAATCACATTACTTGTAAATGCCCTGCTTTTACATGAAGTTGTACTAGTATAATGGTTTTTTATACTTAGTTTTTCTTTTTCTTTTTCCAAATAATAAAAATATTGTTCTTGGAAATTTGGGAAATTTTTTATTTATTTATTTAATTCATAGTCATTATTTTAACTTTAAAATTCAAATCTTCCAAAGCTTGCTTCACATGTAATGATGCTATAGAAACATGTTTTTATAACACAATATATGGGCATAATGTTTAATATCACAGGATGACACCCTTTCCTTTTATATGTATATAAAATATGATCTTATATCTTAGGGATTTTTTCCATAATTGATTTATGTTTTTATAACTCAATCTTATGTGTCCTGTTGTGAATTAGTAGCTTACAATATTATTTTATTGTTATTATTTTAATTTTTTTGGTAATATTTTAGAGCAAACCAACAAATCTTGCCACCCCAAACAAGTATATATGTTCTGTTTTATTTTATTTTATTTTTTCTTTCTAAAAAAAGACAATATGGCAACAATTCCTTTTTCACCCTTACCTGGTCAGACCCAAGGTGCATTTGTGTGAAGCTACGGACTTGTATTGTATTCCTCCAAGGTGACAATCGTCTCAGACCATCTGGCATTACTTACTGTGTCTCCCAAAAGTCCATATGTACATTATATACAGACTATACAGTATATAATATATTCTAGGAGTACAATGTATACAATATATATATATATATATTGTATACATTGTATATATATATATATATTAGTACAGTAGATCATTGATGGCGGAAACATCAAACTTGGCACAATTTGAAGTACTGTTGTTGGATATGCACTTTAAAATATATTTAATAATTTAATTTCTCTTTATATTATTTACTTTAAAATAAATTAAATGTCTATGTTCGGAACTTGATTTGTTACATACAATATTATTTTATTAAAAAAATAAAAATATGAAACAATTGAATATTTAGTAGGGTCAATTGCAAGAAACCCCCCTAAACTATTGAAGTTTTGCAAATAATCCCCTAAATACAAAAAAAAAAAAAAAAAAAAAAAAATTCCTAAACTATGGTTTTGTTGCAATTTACCCCATTAGGTCATCGGAAAAGGCAAAAGACCATTTCACCCTTACTATAAAAGGACGTAGTTTTAATCTTTAGTCTCTTAAACTACTGATGTGGCTTAGTGAAATCCGATCAACCAATTGGAGTGCGACTACTCACGAAGAGTTAAGTTTCACATATGGTCCACCGATTGTAAAACCACGTGGCATAATTTATTTTTCTGTATCAAACAAAACAAAGATTACACCTAACTCATTCTTCCTCGTTGAGGCCATAACTGTTTAAGGAAGAACTGAATATCTCTACAACATTTTTTTTTTTTTGGTAAAATCTTTGCACCATCTTCCTTGGGCGAGACCCCAAATTTGTGGGAGGTGATGCAAAAATTGGCTACGGGAGAGGGATGAAGATAGGATATGCTATTATATAAGTGATACATACATACATACATATATATATATACATATATATATATATACATAGAGAGGGTCGTATATATACAGAGAGAGGGTTGTTGTGAAATTAAATAGAAAACACAAGAAAGAGATCAAATACACACACAAAATAACACACATATTTTACTTGCTTTACCCAAAATCAGGAGGTTGTAGGGATTTTCCCTGTGATGATAAAAAACAGCAACGGATATAGGGAGTTTAGAATAAATAAATACCCTCACACTAGGGCAACATAACAAGTGCAAAAATTACCAAAATACCCTCCTAAAAAATTAGGTAAGGGCCAAGCCCCTGAAACCCCACCTTCGGACAGGAGGGCTCTGCCCCCTGCGACCCCCCTGCCAACTTACCGCGAAGTTGGAGTTTGGTGTACAATATTTATCAAGCTCCACACTATCCATCAAAGAGGACGTTAGATTCACGCTAACCATGCCGAATGCCGCCAATGATAGATATTGAATTAACAAACATCAGTCTCGAGTTGGGTTCTCCGAAACAAGCAATTGGGTCTCAATCTGGACCATCAATTCGGCGACGAGTGTGAAGACGAAAATGGGGGGTGTGTCGCCGACTGAGTTAAGGTTCTGATGAGGAGTGTGAGGGCATCGAAGGAGAGGAGTAGTGAGGGTTTTGTTTGGGTTTCATTCTCTTGAATTTGTTTCAAACCCTCTGTTTCATTCGAACCTGCTTGTTATTGAATCAATTATTTTTCCCCCCGTAAATGCTTCCTCTAGAAATTCTTCAATTCTCCGGACACATACAGATAGAGGGAGAGGGAGAGGGAGAAAGAGAGAAAGGTTAGGTTGACAAGAAATTATTTATTAGAAAGTGCAAAGAAGAAGATGAATATAGACATAAGTGATAACGGTTTATTTGGGTATAACAGTAAAACAAGGCTGTGTTTGGGCGTAAATCGTAATGGTCACAATAAGGGGTAGTAAAGTATTTTCATGATCATTAGTGCATTATAGCCATTAAATATATATTTTTTGTTCATATAATGATTTTAACGGTGATATTCAACCGGTCGGTCGCCAGATAGGGTTATCTGTAGCAAAAATGTATAATTTAGGAAGTATTTCGCAGTTTTTGAAGTTCAAAGGGGGTTGTTGCTGATTGGTCAATAGTTCAGAGAGAATTTTTTGCATTTTACCCTATTTTAGTATCGTCTATATGCCCTTCATTTAATTATATATATATATATGCCGAACAAACTTACTCAAATCCATGTAATATTAATGGCTTTGCCGGATTTAATACTGGTTTGTAAAATGGTTGATTGGTAATATTGTTGTGGCAGTGACTACTGCAGAGAATGGGCAAAGGGCTTTAGAGTTATTGGGCCTTGGAGATGGACAACACATCTTCAACAACAGTGTAAGTGGTCCTTTTTATGTCTTTAAATGTCCCCGCTAAAAGGTCAAGAATGATTGCTTCTGTTATTTGCCCACTAAGATGTGTAAAGACTTTATGCTCATTCTATGCTAACGGTTTCGTAGCCCAAGCAATAGGGTTACTCCTCGTTATTCTTAGGAATTTGACTTCAAGCCTTCCTAGCCCCACTCCCCAATAATCACTAACTCTTAATATTTTTGTCATGAAAAAAAAAAAGAAAAAAAGAAAAAAAAGAAGTTATGATTAGACACCCATTCCTCTCATATTAAGAATTAACTAATGTTAATAGCAATATATATATATATGTATATATATATTTGAAAATTCCCATAATTGTCACCAGAAAAATTCCATTAGTTATCTCATTAGTAGCAGCAATATGGGAGCAATGGAATATTTCTAGTCGAGCACTATCTAACTCGTTACATGTGAGGAGAAACTTTCTCTCTACAGCTGATGTGTCATGATATCATTGGACCGCGTGTTCCTTTATAATATTAAAATATAAATAAGAATGAAAGAAAAATAACCTATTTTTTTTAGGGGAATCCTACTTGTGCCAAATCAAGTCCAATGATATCATGATGCATCAATTATAAAGGATAAGAACTTCCTCCTCAGATGTAAGAAGGCAAGCATGTCTGGGATAATGTGGTGGGGTTTGCTTGTGTAACAGATTCGGGAGTCTATACTAACTTAGAAGTTCATTATCCAATGTTGGTCCCATGCCTTTCTTTAATTATGGAAGATAAAATTTATTTACAAATATTAATACTTCTTGGTAACATTTTTAGCCCATATATGTACCATTGATATTCATTTGCAGGATTCAAGGGTAAACTTGATCATTACTGATTATTGTATGCCGGGAATGACAGGATATGAGCTTCTTAAAAAAGTTAAGGTAATGTGTTCTTCTCTCATCAATTGATGCATTTCAAAGCTGACGTTTTCCATAAATCCCAATCTTTCTCTGTTGACAGGAATCATCAAACCTTAAAGAGATACCAGTAGTGATAGTTTCATCTGAGAATGTCCCTACTCGGATCAAGAAGTAATCACTTAGCCCTGTAAACTTGGTCATATCCAGGAAAATGATAAGTAGTCCGACTCCCACTCACATAAATGCAGTCAGATTAGTCCAAGAGTCGGACACTGTATCACAACTCTCATATCAATTTACGAATGATAACAACCTTATTAATTCTTCTGAATTTTGCTTGGCCAAACAGGTGCTTGGAAGAAGGAGCACAAGAGTTCATGCTGAAGCCTCTCAAACAATCGGATATCAAGAAATTGAGATGTCATATGGTGAAATTTGATCATAACGGAAGGCTTTGCATAGGAAGGTAAAACGAAGAAGCATGCGCTAGAAGAGAGCAGTTCTCAGAAAAAGCACAGGAAAGAGGCCAAAGATGGAGTGAGACATGAAATGTATTTTTGTCAATACATCAAAAACTCTTTTAGCAAGTATATGATAGCATCAAATCCTTCTTGAACTTGGCCCTTTTTATATTTGCTATCACAGTTTTCTATCTATAGATCAGAACATTTTAGTGTATGCATATATATATATATATGCTATGAATGAAATTCACCTTTTGTTTTCTTCTTTGTTTGGGTGTGATCTTTGCTCTCTATGATCAGTATGGTAACGTGTATTATATATGGCATTTACAGGCAGGTTGCATTCCTTCTTTCATTAATCATTTTGTGTGTTTTCAAAAGAATCCTTTGTATTCATAAAATGTGAAGAAACACACACATATATATCATACTTCCTTTCCAAGCTTGGTCATGCGCATATGCATTTTTCAGTACAGAGAGAAAATGCAGAACATACATTACAATCATTATCATTTGGGTATTAGTTTGTTTTTTCCTTCCTAACCTCCTATCTTTTGAAAACATATGCATTTTAGATCAAATTGGATATTTGGATCTCAGGTTGAACCTGACTTATTTCATGTCTATATAAGTTTTTTAAAAATGTATCAATTCAATCAACGGGATAAAAACTGGGAAAAATAAAAAAAAATACTTGGCTCTAGAGATTAACAACTTCTTGAGAATATTAAGTAAGAAGAGAGTGTGTGTGAGAATTCTGAATGAGAAGAAATTAAATCATCTTTTTTTTTTAGTAGGGGGATTAATTGTGATATTGTAACATTAAATTTAATAATATAAAAAGAAAATGATACATTCTTCGAATTCAGGGAGTGATGATTAGTTGTTATGTGGATGGGGTGTGAGCGTCCACCACATGGCATTATGTAGTGGGATTCACACTCCACTCACATATTCTCATAAGTGAGGAATGAGGATGTATTCCATTCTAAGAACACCCCCGGTGTATATTCTAGACTTTCATTCTACACTTTCAAAAAGTGTAATGTTACCTCAACAATTATATTGACTGGCTCTACACTTGTTTTAGAGACTACTTATTGGTGAGCAATCATTTTTTTTTTTTGACACTACACATTATTATCTCATATACTTCGTACATTAAGCCTTAAACAAATACATGTAATAATTATTTTACAGGAGACTATCACTTTTTCTTTTTATATCATAATTGTACAAGGATCCCTCCCCAACTTAAGTCCACAAATGTGGTGTATGGAGTGCAACATATTGCGTGGGGCCCACACCAAACCAAATTCATTCTACACAGAGACGGCCAATATTCAAATGCAACCTCGATACCCATTGCGCTAATGTGGACCAATAACAAATCATTACATTTTCTTTTATTATCAAATCAAAAATCACGTGCTACAAATCATTATATTTTCTTTTATTATCAAATCAAAAATCACGTGCTACGTATATTCATGAAAGAATTATTTTTATTTTTATTTTTATTAATTTTATAATTAAAAAAGACGTGTTTAATTGTTATTGGTCCAATTATTAGTGTTCGCCTCATGGATTAGGATATAAGAACAAGCATTTAATTCGGGCCTTCATGGAGTGGATTTTTTATGGTCGAAGTTGGGCCTGTCCAGGGTTCACTATGGCTGGGCTGGGCCATAATTAGGTCAGGAGAAGTAATAGAGCCCTAGTCTTTTTCCGAAGAATAGAGTGGAAACCCTAGCAGCTCCTTTGGCTCTCTATAAATATCCCACCAGAAGATTGTAAAACAGATGCAAAGAGCATTCGGCTCTTCAGATTTATTTTTTTATTTAAGGGCTTCCGTTTTGTTCATTTTCATCTATATATGTCTATAATATCTATACATGAGTTTATATATATGTATATATGTATATCATAGTTGAGATCCGTATCCTGTGTACAATAAGCCGATGCTCTGGAATATAAGAATGAAGGAAGCATGGTAATGTGCACAGAGAATGAAGGGTCATCATGTCTGCCCCCTCTGATGCTTCTGATTTGGGGGCCTGGATCAGACCTACATCTTTTTTCTGTTTCTTTTTATTTTTTCAAATTATTTATATGTCGGTACTAAACATAAGTATGTTTGTATGTATCTAAGCATTTATGTTTTTGTGATTTCATAGTAATTTTTTGTCGACATATCATATACATATTTTTTTTATGTGTTCATGATCTATGAATTTAAGTTCTGGGTCTTGGTAGTAGACAATTTTTTGTCATAGTTAATATGATATATTTTTCTTGTGTTTTTTTAATTAATTTTTATTTAAAATCGAACTTTAGAGGTCGGTTTAGATTTTGCTTCCAATTTTTTTCTTTTTTTAATTTAGGTGAAATAAGTAAAAAAGCTGAGGCATCTGGGTACCCATTTGAATTTTGATTTTTTCTTTATTTAAATTTCTCTATTCAGAGATAATTGTATACCTTTTTTTTCTTTAATTTGAGGAATCAAAGTCGGAAGTGAATTCTAACTGTTTAAAACACTCTGGAATGTCTGTTTTATTTATGAGACTCTTTTGAAATTGATCATTAATTCATGGATTAAAAGGAAGTGGCATACCATTAATCCTGTTTGGATATGTTTGATTCATAGGAGAGAAAATGAAGGAAAGAGTACTAGTATGATATTTTGTTTGGATGCATAAAAGATAAGAGAAATTATACACTAATATTTTTTACGAGAAAAGAAACAAAGGGATAGATGGGAGAGAGAGAATAAAAAAGGAAAGCATACCTTTCTCCTTTTTCATTCCACAAAACACAGGAGAAAAGAGGATAATATTTTGTCTGGGTAGGTAGGAGAGTAAAGGAAAATTTAGGAGAAAATAAATGATATTATTTTGTGTGCATACACAGGAGAGATAGTTATGTTAGGAGAGATAGTTATGTTTGGATGAATATGAGAGAAAATAAAAAGAAAGAATAATATTTTTATTTAGATAAGATAGATAGGTGAAAATAAAAAAATAAATTGTTATCATACCCTGTTAAGTGGAATAGAGTACAAGATAGTTTTGGAATTATAAAAATTTTGTTCAAAAATTATTATTATTTTTTTTTATCTTCTCATCTTTTGAGGGATAGAATATGAATTCTCTATTTGGGATTTGGAACAGGGATTAATAGATTTGGAATAGGGATAAAGTAGGATATTCTGTCTCTCAAAAAATGAGAAGATAATGAGACAAATGATAGTGATTCTGAACTGTCAAGCAAGAATTGTTATTTCCATTTATTTAAAAGGGTATGATAGTAATTTGATTATTTTCTTTTCTTTTCTCTTTCCTATCAGTATCTATCCAAATATAAACAGAGATTATTACTATTTTTTTTTTTTTTTATCCTTTCATAATATAGGGCTCCAACTCGGGCGAGTTGGGCGGGTTTGGCACTCATCTCGAGCTAGGCCCATATAGAAAATCTTCAACCAAAGTCCAGCTAAAACCCGCTTTAAGCCCGTGCCGAGCTGTCTAAGTCCAGCATATACATAATATGTCCAGCCCAAGCTCGCACTAAGCCCACCTCAGAATAATTTGTGTGTAAAAAATAAATCAATTAATGCTGCATAGGGTTGTAACTTGGGCGTCCCAAACCTGAAATAACCCGAGCTTAGCTTGAATTTTTTTTGGCTTTGCAATGTTTTTCTAATTTCAGTTTAGGTCTGGGCTATATATTTTGAGCTCGAAATCAATTCAGGCTGGGCTTAGGTTGATTTGGATGAAATCCGAAGCCCAACCCAAGCCCGAAAATATTATATATATTTATAATTATACTTAAGTCAAAAGAGTTTGCAGCATTAATTGATTTATTTTTTAGACACAAATTCTTCTGAGGTGGGCTTAGTGTGTGCTGGGCTTGGGTGGTTCGGTTTGGGCTTGGCCTGAAGATTTTCTATATGGGCCTAGCTCGAGATAAGTGTGAAGCTCGCCCAACCCGCCCGAGTTGCAGCCCTATTCTATAATTATAAATATATATAATATTTTTAGGTTTGGGTTGGGCTTCGGTCTTCGTCCATATTAACCCAATTTGGTCTCAAAATATATAACCCAGACTTAAATCGAAATTAGAAAAACATTGCCTAAGCCCAAAAAATTTTGGGCTGGGTTCGGGTTATTTCGGGTTAAAACCTCCCAAGTTGCAGCCTTAGTTTTGTAATAAGAATTTTTCACCTTTTTGACATGAACAAAGAACTGTTATGAAATAAACTGTTGATCATTAAAGAAATAACTTGTCAATCCCTTTGTTCCCCTGAAATCATCATCACTCATCACTGTCTTTATGTTTATCCTTAACTAAATCGGTGCCAAAGCTTTTGTGCTTTCAAAAAAATTTTTACTGACTTGGCCATAAAACGTAATTCTTGCCATTGAGCTTTACATATTGAAAGGGCAGAGGAAGATAACAAGTTTGAACTGGTAGCCATGGAGAAGAGAAGTTTGAAAAAATAAATTATCGAACCCAAAAAAAAAACTAAATAAATAAATTGGCCGAATCTGTATTCAAGTCGAATCTGAACAAACGGATTGAATTTGGGCAAACGAGTCAAATTAGAACCAGATCTCCCCAACTCTAGTTTTAGTAAACCAGGTTAGGGATATTCAGAACGCAGTTATGCTATCCCAACCTTGGTGTACTAAAACTGGAGTTGCAAAGATTTGGTTCAGATTTGACTCGTTTGCCCATATTCGACCCTAATACAGATTCGGCAAAAAAAAAATTTCCTTTCAGGTTCGATAATTTATTTTCTCAACTTCTTTTCTCCATGGCTACCAATTCAGACTTGTTTCCTTCAATCCTGCTATGACTTCAGTAAAGCTCAATGGCAATGGCAATAATTACGTTTTAGGGGAACAAAGAGATGCTCAGTTATTTATTTAATAAATTTGTAATACTAATTTTTAACATTAAATTACTTGCAAAATTATTTTTTATACCCTATTGAATTTTGGAATGAATATTTATATATATAAGAGTGTAAATTAGTAAAAATATAAGAAATCTCCTCATTTTCCTTCCAACCAAACAACACCACCATAATCCTTCAAACTAAGCATTAGCTTAACTTTAGTGATGGTTGATAAAATTGAAAATTAAGTAATGAAAATTTCAAGTACAATTTTAAGAAATTAAGTGATGTTTGAT